CCTCCCCCCGCAACACAGGGAGGAATGCGTTTGAACTTAGAGGCCCGGGACTGGCCCAGTGACACTTTGTACTTACATGCTTCAGGTGCTGGGGAGCTCACTCTCTAACTCTGGAGGTGGCAGCGACAGCCCGTTTCATTGCCAGCTGAGTAGGAGCGTTGGCTCAGAATGAGGAAGAAATGTTGGTGTCCCTGTGGCTCCCCACCTAAACCAAGGGATCTGTCTTTGGAGCATGAGGCCTTTGTGTGGGACGCTTGGCCGCCTCGTGCCTCCTGGCTTTGCTCACACTATCATATCTGCCGGGAATGCCCTTCCCGACCTCTACTGCTTGGCTAACTTTACCCATCTGGTGAGGTTCAGCTCTCCTGGGAAGCTTCAGGCACACCCTGCACCCTTCTATGGCGCCTCATACTTCCTTCTCTGTTCAGCGCTAACCACACCACGGTGAACGTGGATTTCCGTGTTTGTCCCACCGGATCCATCGAGGGCATGGGGACTGATGGGCTTGTGTGGCGCCATGCTGCAGAGACCTTCTCTGAGGTTCCTCCAGCGTGCCAGGCCCGCCGGGTGCTCTGCATACGTGTTCTAACTTGATCCTCCCAATAACCCCGAAAGTAGCTATGCTCCATCCCTGTTTCTCAGCTGGAGAATCCGCACAGAGCAGGGATTTGAGCCCAGCTTCTTCCGGCTGGGAAGGCCGTGTTCCTTATCCATGGACCACATGGTCTGGTGACAGCACAGCTGCGCAGTGGGGCGGGCCTGCCTCACTGGGAACGTTTTCAGTTCAGTTTTCTGGCGCCCGGTCCCCCACCCTCTGTCCAAACCCCTACGTCAGCCCCTCACAGATGAGGATGCCGTTCCCATGGCCACTTCTCCATTCTGAGGTGACCGAGCGGCCAGGCTGGGACGGCGGGTCTAACCGCAGATTGACAGATGTTTCCATGTGTGGAAGTGAGCTGTGAGCCTTTATGCAGTCTTTTCGTGGTTCCCTTTTTGGCTCTTTCCCTTGGGCAACGTGTCCCATCATGGTTTTGCTACCCTGATGTGCTTCCATGCTTGCTGTTCACAACCTTTAGACCGTTCTTAACAATCTTGTTTTTTTTATTTTTTTATTTCTCTTTGAGAGAGAGCGCAAGCGGGGGAGGGGCAAAGAGAGAGAGGGAGACACACAATCTGAAGCAGGCTCCAGGCTCCGAGCCATCAGCACAGAGCCTGATGCGGGGCTCGAACTCACGGACCGCGAGATCGTGACCTGAGCCGAAGTCGGACGCTCGCCCGACCGAGTCACCCAGGCGCCCCTCTTAACAATCTTGTTTTGTGGGCAGAGCACGGTCCAGTTTTCAGGGGCTGTGTACCTGTGTTAGCTCATTGGATCTTCCCAGCAAACCTAGGACCGAGCTCATTTGACAGATCGGGGTTCAGAAGAGTCTAAGTAATGACTTTAGGGAGCCCTAGACTCAGCTCTTACTTAGCCTGCCTCCCTAAGGCACCTGCTAAACCTCGCTCCACAGCTGTAGGAGGTAGGTAGCATTATTATCCCTATTTTAGAATCAGGGAACAGAGCTCAGAGACGATAACTGACTTCCCCGTGGTCACACAGCAGCAAATCTAGACTTAGACCCCCATCTCTTAATTCCTGGCCCGGTGTTCTTGAGAACAGGTACAAAACTGGAAAAAAAAAAAAAATGCGTCTCTACATTTCAACAAATCTACAACATTCCTGGATACAGACATACCACTCTTCTCGATGCCACAGGAAATCAAAGTGCTGACAGACTAGACAATACCTTCTTATCACTCAGAATCTTTTTATTTCACACTTAACAAAAGAGCTCCTTTAGACTTGGATGTGTGACTTACGTACATCATTCTCGTACATATGTAGAAGGGGCATTCAAATGAAAATAAACTTATTCGAAATGAAATTCAATTTACATGAAAAGAAACTTGTTCACACTCGAAATCAGGCTCTGGGTCAGAGTGACGGACTCTGGTGTTTTTTCAAACGGTATTGTCCTCTGTGTCAGCATGTGTTGGTGACCTCTCTCTCTCTCTCTCTCTCTCTCTTTTTCTGACTTTAAACACATTTGATTCAGCAAAAGCTTGCACGTCATGAAGCGCACACGTCGTAAGGGTATCTGATGAGTTTTCATCCATGGAAGTCTGCGTCTGTGATCAGTGGTGGCTGATGGGTAAATATTTAGGAATTTGGCAGAGCAGCTTTTAAACTGTTTCTTGTTCAAAACCAGCCATCGTGAGAATATTTGCACCACGGAAACTGGCAGATGATGCAATTCAGGCCTTTTCCTCCCTCCTCAGGAGCTGGTTTACCAGCACAGTACTGAGTGTAGCTACCTCTGGGTTTCGGAGAGATTTCCAGCACCCCTACTAACTTTGTGCTCTCCCTAACCCCCGCTCCAACTAGGGAAGCATCCAGAAGCGGCGTTTCTCAACAGGATCCATAGGTGGACTGAGAGTCCCTGCTGCTGGTCCTACACCAGCTTTGCATTGCTCAGTGCTCCTCCCTTTGGACTCCCACGCGAGGAATGCTGCTAAACGCGTCCGCTTTCCCACCTCCCCTGCCCTGCGCCCACAGCCATCTGGTTCCTGGAGGCTGAAAGAATACTCCTGTATTGTCTCCAGGATTTCCTTCCAAGCCACAGAAACCCATACCAGAGTACCGCTTGGCTTGCATAGGCAATGAGAACTCCATCCAGAGGGCCCCTGGCCAACAGCTATTGTAAGACACATCCCAATTTTCAGAAATATTAAAATGGGAAAAAAGTGGTACCCGTTTGCACATCTTCCCTTACTGAAGTGCTTTGCTTTGAGAAGCGGCTTGTCTTGAGGACGGAGCCCTATAAAGATGTGCCCATGTTTCCTCGCGGCCCCCAATCTCGCTGGGCATCCTGCCTCCCGATGGGTGGCGTCTGTCCACTTCTCTGGGGTCCACTGGCCGTGACCACCTCTGGCCCCGAGCGGGCAAGAGAGGACTGGGACGCTGCGGGAACTCTGGGCTTTGACAGCAGGCTGCTTCTGGACGTCTCTGGGGATTGCTCAAAGTGTTCTCTATGGGATGGTGCCTCGGACACACCCCTGTGATGACTGTTGCAGGGTCAGCGTCGTCTTCTCGACCTGGCCGTGACCTTTTGCAACCGGGCTTTTAATAACCCCTGTGTTCCTCAAAGCCCAGCACGCCCCTGCCCTGGAGCAAGTGCCCAGGAAATATTTGGATGCAGGAGCAGATGACAGACCAGCCATGGAGAGACTTCATTCTGAAGCCTGCCCAGCTCACGGCTCTCGAGGAAGCCACTTCTCTGTAGAAGCCACAGGAGCAACTGAGGGAGGGGATGGTGCACAACGGCCTTGCACAGGCTCCCAGGGGTTGAGAACATGACTTACGTGGCCGTCGGGACTGCCTGGGCCGCCCTGCCTCAGTCCTGCCTGCTGGAGCCGAGGCCTGGGCCGGGGCAGGGAAGGGGTGGCAGAAAGGGAGAGGCTCTGGGAGTTGGGGCAGGGGGTGGCGGGAGCTGTGCCCACCAGGCAGTGGATTCAGAGCAGCGGGTTTAGGGAAAATCTCCGGATGGGCAGGGAGATTGCAATGAGTGAGAAGGCCGGAGCGTTGGGTGTCTGGACTTGACCTAGAATGCTTCAGAGGCTGGGGGAGGGCAGGGGGGACGGCAGATTCTGAAGGAAATGTGCCTGCTCCCGGCGGGCCGGTGAAGAGCCTTCGGCCCAGACCAGAATCCCCGGGCTCAAGTCTCAGCCTTGCCCCGTCCTGTCCTCACGAACCCCGGCAGTTACTGACGTCTCTGGGTCTCTGATTCCCCAACCGGAAAGCCACGATAATAACCCCGGTCCTGCAAGCCTCCCAGTGGCAGTTGTGGGAAGAACTAAAATGTGCTCACGTGGTGTTTGAGTCCTGGATCTGGCGCTGGACGCAGAGCACTTAGCACGAATGAGTGCTGTGCTTCTCAAAGCGTGGTCCGCAGGCCGTCAGCGTCAGCATCACTGGGGAACGTGCTCGAAATGCAAATTCTCAGGCTCCTGCTGAATCTGAAACCCTGAGGGTGTGGCCGGCAGCTCGTATTTTGGACACGTTCTCCAGAAGGTTCCGCTGAACCCTAACACCTGCGACTCATAGCGTTAGCTCACGAGTCTGCCCACCGATCCTGTGGCACCGATCGCGTACTGTGATCGTGAGGAGCAAAAGCCTCAGTTGTGCCAGTTGGCCCCCCAGTCTGTCCAGACTTGAAGGCGATTTTTTTTTTTAAGGTGTGATTCACACACCGTACAATTAACTCTTTTATAAAATGTACAATTCGGTGGTTTTTAGTATAGTCATGAGGTCACGCAACTATTACCACTAACTCCACTCCGGGATATATTCATCGTCCCCAAAGAAATTTTGTACCTTTTAGGCATCGCTGCGCACCTCCCCTCCCCCAGCCCCTGGCAACCTCTCAGCTACTCTCCGTCTCAATGGATTCGCCTGTTCCGGACATTTCGGAATCGTGTAATATGCGGTCTTTTGTTTCACCCGCATAATGTTTTCGAGGTTCATCCGTGTTACAGCATGCCTCGGGATTCTATTCCTTTTAGTGGCTGAGTAATATTCCGTTGTACGGATGGACCACGTTTTGTTCACCCGTTCATCCGTCGATGGACATCTGGGTTGTTTCCACCTTGTGGCTACTGTGAATATTTGTGTACAAGCACTTGTTTAAACACCTGTTTTCAATTCTTTTGGGTATGTATCCAGGATCAGAATTGCTGGGTCGTATGGCAGCTCTGTGTTATAACGTTTTGAGGACCTGGCAGACCGTTCCCCAAAGCGGCCGCACGATTTTATGGTCCCACCAGCAATGGGCGAAGTCTGTAATTCCTTCACATCCTTGCCAACACTTGCTGTTTCCTTGTGTTTTTTTTCCCCTTTAATTCTAGGCATTCCAGTGGGTGTGAGGTGGTATCTCATTGCACTTGGGATTTGCGTTTCCCTAACGATTAGCGACGTTCAGCATCTCCGTGTGCTTGCTGGCCACTCGGGTATCATCTTTGGAGAAATGTCTGTTTAAGCCCTTTGCTTACTTGAATTTTATTTTTGTTGTTGAGCTTTAGGAGCTTGTTCTATATTCTGGATATTAATCCATTATCGGGTATATGATTTGCAAATGTTTTCTCCCATTCTGCGGATCGCCTTTTGACTCTGTCAACAGTGTCTTTTGTTTGGACGATTTTTTTTTTTTTTTTGATGAAGTCCAATGTATCTATTTTTTTTCTTTTGTTGCTTGTGCTTTCGTGTCATATCTAAGAATTCATTGCCAAAATCAGGGACATGAAGATTTAACCTCTATGTTTTCTCCTAAGAGCTTTATTGCTTCAGCATCTACATTTAGGTCTCTGATCCATTTTGAGTTGATGTTTGTATATGGTGTGAGGTAGGGATCAAGCCTCATTTTATCCAGTTGTCCCAGCACCATATGTTGAAGAGACTGGAAAGAGGCAACCTTTTAAAGAAAGATGTCAAGTGAAATACCAGTGTGGCTGGCATGTGCCAGAGATGGCAAAAAGTGGGAAGGTGGTACTTGAGTGAGTGAGTTTGGGAGATGCTGTTTCTAGCGAATTCTTGCTCCTTAAGGATGTTCTCTGTCTTGGGGAGATGCTCTGTTCGCTGAAAGATGTCAGGACTGAGGTGATGTGGCCACTGGCCTCTCACCCAACTTGGCAAGACCCCAGCTCTGTTTTCCCTCCTCTGCTTTTCCTATGAAAAAGAGCCTGCACCTATGAACAAGGGGTCTCTGGGAGCAAAGGGGAGTGATCTCTCTCACTTGCTCAACTAGTGCCCAGCTTCTCCCTCCTCTTCCCCTAACTGGACCTTGGTCCAGTCACCAGGCCCGACACCTCTCCCTTCTGGCCAGACGCAGTTCCAAAAACAACCTCAAGAGCACTTGGATTTATTTTCCAGCCCGGACTAATGACACTTCTGTCCACAGCTCGGACCCAAGTGCCTGTTGGGTGGGGTGGCTGTCCTCACCTCCTGAAAGCTGGTGGAAGTGTGTGATTTTTCCTTTTCTCCTTTTGCTTTTGGAACATAAGCATCTTTCCAAGTCTCTCCGGCCAAAAGATGACGGTGTGGGCCTTGTGGCCTCCCCGTCAAAGCCAAGTGGCTCCACGTGCAGCCTGTCTTCCCATCACCCACATGGTCCCAGGTGTATTCATTTCCAAGGACTATCATAACAAAGTGCCACGCACCGGGTGGCATAAAATAACAGAAATGTGTTTCTCTCACAGTCTGAAGTCTGGAAGTCCAAGGTTAAAGTGTCCACGGAGTTGGTTCCTTCTGGAGGCTCCGAGGGAAAGTGTGTTCTATGCCTTTCTCTTGGCTTTTGGTGGCGGCTAGCAATCCTTGGTGTCCCTTGATCTGCAGACACATCATTCCAGTCTCTGCCTTCTTTTTCACGTGCCCTTCTCCCTGTGTCCCTGTCTCTGTGTCTCCTCTCCTCTTATAAGGACACCAGTCACATTGGATTAAAAGCCCACCTCACTTCATCAAGATGACTGAATCTGAACTGATTACTAGCAGCCCAAACATTTCTCAAATGTTTTGCAAAAGGAGAGTAGTTTTCTGCTGCTGAACGCCCTAGGAGCCTGAACCAGCACAACGCTACTGGGATTTGCCAATGACAAATTGGGACCAACTGGGATTGGGGGATCTGCCCAATACCCCCATCTAGCTCTGTGGCGTCTTCTGATAAGTAGAGCTACCATATAATCCAGCAATTTCCCTTCTGGGTGGGTACCGCAAAGAACGAAACGTGGGGTTTGAAGAGATATTGGTACACTTGTGCCCTTGGCAGAGTTATTGACAATAGCTAAAACGCGGAAGCAACCCAAGCGTCCATGAACAGAAGAATGAATAAGCAAAATGTGATGTATCCACATGGCAGGATAGTATTCACCACTCAAAAAGAAGGGAAACCTGTCATATGCTACAACATGGGTGAACCCTGAGGACATTACGCTACGTGAAATCAGCCAGTCACAAAAGAACACGTACTGTCTGATTCCTCTTGGATGAGATACGTCGAGTAGTCAAGATCACAGAGACAGAAAGTAGAGTGATGGTGGCCAGGAGTTGAGGAGGTTATCGCTTCATGGGGATGGAGTTTCATTTTTTTTTTTTTTCAACGTTTATTTATTTTTGGGAAGACATAAGAGAGAGACAGAGCATGAATGGGGGAGGGCAGAGAGAGAGGAGACAGAATCGTGGGAAACAGAGGCTCCTGGAGCCATCAAATTAGAGAGCTCCGATGCGGGCTCGAACTCACGGACTGCGAGATCGTGACCTGGCTGAAGTCGGACGCTTAACCGACTGCGCCACCCAGACGCCCTTAAATTTTTTTTTTTTTTTTCCAACGTTTATTTATTTTTGGGACAGAGAGAGACAGAGCATGAACGGGGGAGGGGCAGAGAGAGAGGGAGAAGGAGTTTCATTTTTTTAATGTTTATTCATTCTCGAGAAAGAGAGAGACAGACAGAGCGTGCATGGGGGAGGGGCAGAGAGAGACCCACACCGAATCCAAACAGGCTCCAGGCTCGAGCTGTCAGCAACAGAGCCCGATGTGGGGCTCAAACTCACAAACGGTGAGATCGTGACCTGAGCCGAAGTCGGATACTTAACCGACGGAGCCACCCAGGCGCCCCTAGTGTTT